GGTATTTTGGTAATTATGTCACCCATAGGATGTGAACATTCACATTAGGGGTATTTTGGCAATTATGTCACCTATAGGACTTATTGAAACATAAGAAAATAATGTGGACTAAATGGAACATAAGTAGATGAAAAGGGTATTTTGGTCTTCTTACCTCAAATAGGACCTAATGAAATAGTAAAAAAGAATATAGGTTGGATGGAATAAAACTCTTAGAAAAAAGATTTATCAAAAAAGCTCTCTAAAATATGCTATAGAATATTGGGGAAATGATATGATCTAAGGCATATCTTATATAAATTGTGAAAAAAATCATAGAAGGAAGTATAAAATTTTTACATATACCATAGTGAAATTCATATTTTTCGTGTTTTGAGAAACTGCAAAATCAATTTAAGTGGTAAGTAGAATCATGAAAACCAATTCATTTTCCAGGAAAAAAATAATAAAAATCTCATATTTGCATCCAATTTTACACATTATTTAGTAAAGGGCAGGATTTTCTTTGTATTTGAATCTAAATGCTAGAATTGTGGGGCCTGATGCACCAAAATTAGATATTCTAACAGGTCGAGTTGAGTGAGCTTTTGGATATTCGAGCTCGTCTACTAGGATTAGTCAAGCTCACCTTCTCAAATATATTTGAAAAACTTGAGTTCGGTTTAACTCAACTCAATTGAGTCAATTATTAAAGAATTTTGTAAAAAAATTAATTTGCTTATTGCAAATGAAGAGAAAATTATAAGTAAAATATAAATAAAAAATTCATATATTATTAATAAATTTTATTAATTAAATATATAAATTTACACTAAAGACAATTGAAAAAATAGCCATTCCGTAATAGGTCTTAACTGTGGACCTCTCAACGGTTTGCAAATACCCGAGACTGACCATACAGTGTCTTCACCAACGGTTCGACACGACCATACAGTGTCTCCTATCCTATTTTATTTTATTTATCAGTTTACTTTCCTGTTTTGTTACTCTCTCCAAACTCAAGTTGGTTAGTTCCTACCCTCCTTGAGTTTGCGGGGGGCTGTTAACAATATAATATACTATACACTATAGTGCATTTGTAGGCTGGCATTTGTAAGCTGTAAAGAGCTCACCCACTACCACCTTCAGCTTTGACAGACGCCTTTGTATTATTTTAATGTATATTTTCGATTCCAATTGTCTCCCTCTCCTCTCTATAAAGAGAGAGGGCTCATTCTCTTGTATTTACACAATAACATACATCAATCAATAATACAATTCTCTATTTCTCTTTATACATCAATTTTAACAATTATAATGAGTTACTCTGCCTAAATGTTTCTTTGTAATAACTACCATTTTACCGAGTATGTGTCTAGAGAAGCCCATAAAGGTTTTTTTGTTTTGCCCATCCTAGAAGAGCTCAATTTCCAGTTATTGTTAATGGTGGGCTATAGATTTTTTGCTTCACTGAGCCTATGCTTGCTAGGAGTGCTATGGTTTTCAGTGCAAATTTTTTTTTCTGCATCTTTCTACCATGTTTGTATAGCTTGGTTTGATGTAACTTCTTGTCATAAGGGAGAGTTTCACAAATACAAGATTTTGGAAATATAGGCGTTTAAACACATGGAATTGGTTTTGCATAATCAACATTCTATGGGTACTTTCAAGCGAGATTGTTAGGGGTTCCTAGATATTGATGGAACTGGAGAGTGACCTCATTAAAATAGCAAAGGTGGCTACCCTTTTACCCAAAAGGAGAGGATTAGTCTTATGACCTAGACATGATCCAATAGCATGTCTTGCGTTTAGTTGTTCACGAGGCTCTTGACATTCCATACATGCATGGGTTTAGTGGAACAGCAATGCTAGGTATCATGAAAAGTCTTTCATGAAAATGGTCATGAAAGATTTATGACCTTTGGATTACACTTACAATAAAGCACCACACACTAATCAATGTAATCTAAGGGTCACAAAGAGAGGGAGCTCAATATGGACTGATCTGCAGTTGGAAGGCTTGCTTTCACCACCACACTCCTATGGAGCCATTCAATATCCGCTTCTGTCGCGTGTACTTTGATAGAAGGTTCAGAAGCATGTACCTTATTAGCTTGGTCACTAGCTAGAGCATTGCTTTTGACGATGTCCGCGTAAGAGGGTTTGTTGAGGTTGTGCACACTTGGCAGATTCAAGGTGTTGGAATAGCGGGCTTCATGGAAATTGGATCTCATTTTTTGATCTGCCCGAAAGTGTTCAGGATATGGCGGCCTCTCAAATCTTGCAGGCTTGACAATAAGATGATAATCACCATACCATGCTCTGTTGAGTTTCCTAACTGCCTCCTCTGCTGAAGCTGGCCTCTCGTAACGGATGAAGCCAAATCTTGAGTTGAAACGCTTGGTTCTTCTATTTGGAATTGAGGCGTGAACTACACATCCAAATCTTTGAAAAATGCCCTTCAGGGAATACACCTGCATCTGCTCGGGAATGTTGGCTATGAAGATTGTGGGAGATGTTCTAGGTTGTCTATGCTTTCTAGAGACGGTTGTCCAGTCATGGTCGGTGCCTCCATTGTTGTGGCCAGCAGCCATTCTTCCTTCAGCGAAACCTCCTTTCTCTTCTCTAAGCACTTGTAATTAAGCCTTGGTTCTTTGTATTTTATCTAACTGTATTTTGATTATATTGATTTTCTATGTCCCAGTTTCTTATGCATAACCATCAGTTTTGAGTTATTTGTGAAGTTCTCATATTATAATGTTTTTCTTTTTATGCTTCATATTTTAAGTGTATGTGATTGGATCAATTGTTTTATTGCCTTTTCACGAACTAAATTTGAGATATGGCTTTACAGGTAATTATGGGAACCAAATTGAGAGCTGTTGTGGTATCATTGTTCCTATCATCCCTGCTTTTTCCTCTGGTCTTTTCTGCATCTAACGACGGCTTGGTTAGAATTGGACTAAAGAAGATGAAATTTGATCAAAACAATCGGCTTGCTGCACGGCTCGAGTCCAAGGAAGGAGCGGCACTAAAAGCGTCAATTAAGAAGTATAATCTTCGTGGTAATCTAGGAGAAACTGAGGAAGGAGACATTGTAGTGCTAAAGAATTACATGGATGCTCAGTACTTTGGTGAGATTGGAATTGGTACACCCCCACAAAAGTTCACTGTGATCTTTGACACCGGCAGCTCTAATTTGTGGGTGCCATCATCGAAGTGTTATTTTTCGGTAGGCTACTACTTGTCCATGTAATGTGAAAATAAATGCAATGAAGCATTTCTGAGCCATTAATCACTGGACAATGATATCATGAATTATGCAATCTTTCAGGTTCCATGCTATTAATCACTGGACAAGTACAAGTCAAGCCTATCAAGTACCTACAAGAAGAATGGTTTGTATTTTGTCCCTATTTATCATAAGCTGTATGGATGTATATGCTAAGGTGTTCATTTCTTCTTGTTCACTCAATCTATTTGTTTCTTGTAATCTCATAAATGCATAGAATTAGTACAAGTATAACAGTTAAATGGAATATCTTCATGCTCCTAATCCCTATTTATCCATCCAAATATTATTTTGTAAGACCTTCAACTATACCTTGGATATATATGCAATTGAAGTCTGTTATTGCTCTTTCATTATTATAATGAGTTACTCTACCTAAATGTTTCTTTGTAATAACTACCATTTTACCGAGTATGTGTCTAGAGAAGCCCATATAGCTTTTTTTGTTTTGCCCATCCTAGAAGAGCTCAATTTCCAGTTATTGTTAATGGTGGGCTATAGATTTTTTGCTTCACTGAGCCTATGCTTGCTAGGAGTGCTATGGTTTTCAGTGCAAATTTTTTTTTCTGCATCTTTCTACCATGTTTGTATAGCTTGGTTTGATGTAACTTCTTGTCATAAGGGAGAGTTTCACAAATACAAGATTTTGGAAATATAGGCGTTTAAACACATGGAATTGGTTTTGCATAATCAACATTCTATGGGTACTTTCAAGCGAGATTGTTAGGGGTTCCTAGATATTGATGGAACTGGAGAGTGACCTCATTAAAATAGCAAAGGTGGCTTCCCTTTTACCCAAAGGGAGAGGGTTAGTTATATAACCTAGACATGATCCAATAGCATGTCTTGCGTTTAGTTGTTCACAAGGCTCTTGACATTCCATACATGCATGGGTTTAGTGGAATGACCTTTTTGTGAATGATCATCTGTTGGTAATGGCTTTTAAGAAATTTCTACATCTATCTGCCATGCAGGGAAACCTGCTGAAATTCACTATGGCACGGGGGCCATATCTGGATTCTTTAGTGTAGACAATGTCAAAGTCGGTGACTTTGTTGTCAAGGATCAGGTAAATTTCAGCAACCTCCACTTCTGGCTTATGTAATAGTTTTGTTTGGAATTGTCTATACTCATAGTTTTCCTTGTCAGGAATTTATTGAGGCCACCAGGGAGCCCGGCATAACATTTTTGGCTGCCAAGTTTGATGGCATTCTTGGTCTTGGATTTCGTGAGATCTCAGTTGGAGATGCTGTCCCAGTCTGGTATAATTTGTCTTGGTTAAAACTTTTCAACCGAAAATACATAGTTTGCCTCTCTGTATGTGTGTGTGTCCCCATGTGCGCGCGCAGGTGTGAAATCACATACAAGCACAGAATAGAACTCCAGTGATTAGTCTGCAGCGCTGTTTGTTTGATTGTGATCATGGTAATTATGAGAAGTTTTTACTTCCTCCTTTGAGATGGGGCTCTTGCATATTTTACAGGTACAACATGGTCGAACAAGGTCTAGTTAAGGAAGAGGTATTTTCATTTTGGCTTAACCGAAATGCAGATGAAGAAGAAGGGGGTGAAATCGTGTTTGGTGGGGTTGATCCAAATCACTACAGGGGTAAGCACACATATGTCCCAGTGACAAAGAAAGGCTATTGGCAGGTTTGTCAACCACATCTGTTTACTTTGTATTGTCTACCTTTTGTTCATCTCGGTTTAATTCATTGTCATAATTTGTTTTGTTTTGTTTTGTTTTGTTATCATCTTCTTGGTAGTTTGATATGGGCGATGTGCTCATTGATGACAAACCAACTGGTAAGCTCCCCTGTGGGTGCCTAATACAATTTTTTACAACCAAAAATGGGGAAAATTGAAAGCTAAATGAAGACTATCTAAACAAACCTAACATTGTCATGATGATTATATTCTTGCCCCTTGTTAACCTGTCGTTTAATACTTTTAATGTTTTTTTTTTTTCACAGGTCACTGTGATGCTGGTTGTTCTGCAATTGCAGATTCTGGAACTTCTTTGTTAGCTGGTCCAACGGTATGAATTTTATTTTTATTTTTTTTTTGATGACTAGGTTTTCTGGCTAGCTTACATGTACCTCAACTAATCTTAGAACCCACGCAAAGCCCCCCTTCACGTAGATTAGGGGGCAAAGCCCGTGGGCCTAGCCCTAGAGAATTGATAGCACCTAGTGGGAGTTAAACCTAAGATCTGGTGGGAGCACACCCCCAGGCCCCAATTTGCACCCACTAGACCAACCCTTGGGGTTGGTCCAACAGCATGAATGGATGCCTTGGATCTTACTCATTTTGAGTTTTTGTTCCTCTAAAAAATTCTTCTAGGATACATACCCCTTCTATTCTGTATGAAGGGATCTGACATGTAGTTTTCAATACATCCTTAGTTTGTCTGATATTTCTATTTAACATATTTATGCTTCGATATGTTCTAAGTGTAGAGGTTGCTATTTCACTATCTGTTTCTAATACCGTGGTGGAAATCAGAACTTAGTTTAAGTTTATGCTAGATTTCTGTGGATGTGTAGATTTAGTCTAGGTTTAACTTGCTTTGAATAAGATATAGTATATGTCAAAACAATTTTGGCTTTATTTAAAAAGCTTGTTGAAATAATCTTCTTGGCTCATGATTGCATTGCTATTAATTTGCTTTCTCTCTCTCTCTCTCTCTCTCTCTCTCTCTCATACAGACCGTGATCACCATGATAAATCATGCTATTGGAGCCACTGGAGTTGTTAGCCAGGAATGCAAGTCAATAGTTGAACAGTATGGGCAAACAATCATGGACTTGCTATTATCAGAGGTAAATGCTAGCTGCTATTGTGTTTACCTCTTGATTCATATTAGATTCTTTTCTTTTTCTTCTTCTTCGTCTTCTTCTTTTTTTTTTTTTAATTAATTAATTTATTTGTTTATAAATGAAGAGAGTAATGGTAGTTGGCCCGCTACTTGTTCTAGCTTATCAAGAATGTAGTATCCTAGCGCATGTCCTGACTTTTGACTTGGACCACTTTAACAGGCACAACCAAAGAAGATATGCTATCAAATTGGATTGAGCAGCTTCGATGGAACTCATGGTGTCAGGTTATGGAATGATCATTGTTTAGCCTTCTTATGGAGTGATCATTCATTTACAATGGTGAATAATGATTCCATTTGCAATGTAATTTCTTTTCTTTTTTTTTAGTGAGCCAAATGTGAGAATGTTTCATGGACATTTTGATGGAATGATCATTCCATTCCACCTTCATTTCAGTGAACCAAACACTAACTTATTGATTTTGTTATTCCAACCACTTTGTTGTTGTCATAATTAGGAGATAGTTTGTTGTCACTTCAACTCTAGTCCTTCAATGCTTTTTGTACAGTATGGGCATTGAAAGTGTAGTCGATGAGAAGAATGGAGGCAGATCAGCTGGTTTACGTGATGCTATGTGCAGTGCTTGTGAAATGACAGTTGTATGGATTCAAAACCAGCTTAGACAGAACCAGACCCGACTTCAAATATTGAACTATGTCAATGAGGTGGAATAGTTATTTTATGTAGACTTGTTCTTTTGTGTTAATTAGATTGCTTCTGATGTTGACTTAGCCCTCTGATATACTTGTAGCTTTGTGATCAACTTCCTAGCCCGATGGGGGAATCAGCTGTTGATTGTGAAAACCTGTTAGAATTTCCCATCTTTACCTTCACCTACTCCACTACACACTCCACTTCACCTACCTCCACTTCACCACACACTCCACTTCACCTAACCCACTTTCACCTCCACTACACCTACTACCACATTTTCTTCTATATATAGATTGTATAGGAATTGTAATTGATCAATCTTGTAATACAACAACAATCAATAAATACATAAATTCTTACTTGGTATCAGAGCAATAGGTTAGCTCTAGGTGATCTTCATCTTCCGGCGGGCGGCAACCTTGCCTTCACCGCCCGCCGGACCCCAACACATACCTCGTCTTCGACGTTTTGTAGCGCTGCGAACTCGCTCTCTCAGCTCTACACCCAGGCCATGAACCAGCAAAAACTCAGCTTTCAAACTGGTGAACGCCATGGACTGAAAAAACTCTATCAGTGGATTTTGAGACAACAAGAGGGAGGATCCAGAGTAAACACTGTTGCCATACTCACCTACCTGCAGACTGAGCTGGACTATTGCGGAGAGGAGCCATCAGTGTCACCTAGAGCTCCACCCCAAAATCATCATTCACAGTCCACATGCACGCACCGCCCAAAATTTTTTTATTATAAAGCTTATTGGTGCTTGTTCCCCACTTTCCTTTTCTTTTTTATTTCGTACTCATTATCAGTCCACTTTTGAACCCACTCCAGCACACCCACAATTTTTTTTTAACATTTTCCGCCTTTTCCTTATTTTATTTTTTTTTCATACAAACATAATCATATATATATATATATTCTGATTCTTTTCACCAAAAAGAGGCCTGGAGCCATAATCCAGCGCACTTTCTTTTATTTTACTATATATATATATATATATATATGTTTGTTATAATATATTATTTTGACACATAATTTTTCCATTCAAAAAAAAAAAAAAAAAAAAAAAAAAAAAAAAAAAAAAAAAAAAAAAAAAAAAAATAGAGGACATACCTACCCGAGACAAAGCGACGGTGGTGCTAACCCTTACGGTGTGCTCACCTAACCCTTGCGTTGTGCTCATCTAACCCTTGCGGTGATGCTCTAGTAACAGAGAGGAGGGCAGCGTGAGGCGTGAGGCGTGAGGCGTGAGGCGTGAGGCGTGAGAGAGAAGAGACACAGAGGCGTGAGGCGTGAGGCGTGAGAAAAGAGAAAGGGGGAGGTGAGGTCATGTAGGGTGAGGTTTGGAATCTGTGTGTGAGAGGAACAGATATATCTAAAGGCGCCAATATATTCATTTCCCCCTAAAAATTTTTAGCAATTAAATCATTTATTTAGTGATAAAATTATTTTCTCATTAAAAATAAAATTATTAGTCACGAAAATAGTTTTTTCATTAAATAATATTAAATTATAAAAAATTATTGGTGACGAAAATATATTCGTCATTAATAATTTTATTATTGGTGATCAATTTTTTCTTCACTAAAAGTCTGAAAATTTTGGCACCATCCGAAAAATTAGCGAAAAAATATTTAGTGACAAAAAAAATATAAATAATGACGAAAAATAATTTCGTCACCTAATTTTTTTATTATATATGCAGATTGGTGACGAAATTTTATTTTTGTCTCTAAAATTGGTACATTTGGAGACGAAAAATTATTTTCTTCATTAAAAGGTACGTCTTTCGTGACAAAATTTATTTTCGTCATTAGTTTTCGTCTCCAAAGACACTTTTTGTTGTAGTGAACAACCACAGCAGCGAATACCCAGCAATTGCTCCCTCTGTGTGAGAGAAAGACAGAGGGCGATGGCGATTTGCGGCGGTGGCGATGTGCGACGGATGTGAGCAACGGTGGCGAGGGACTTCGGTGAGCTAGAGAGAGTGGGCACCGATTGAGAGAAAGAACACAGAGAGGGAGAGGCGGACTGAGACATAGCAAGATAGAGACGATGGTGATTAGGTTTTTTTTTTTTTTTTCTCTGCTTTCATGGTACAAAACGACGTCGTTTTAAAATTGGCGACCAAATTTATTTGTCGCAAAAAAATTTCAATTCCCGCCCCATTAAAAATCAAATTTCTCTCCCAAACTTTTGGCGACCAAAAGACCATATTAGTCGCAGAAAAGGTACCTTCGCCGACCAAAATATTTTAGTCGCCAAATCTCAATCAATGGCGACTAAAATATTAGTCGCTAAAAGTATTAATTTGGCGACTAATTTTTTTTGGTTGCTAAAAATAAGTTTTTCGCGACCAAATTTTTGGTCGCCAAAAAATATGTGACCTTCCGCGACCAAATTTGTAGTTGGTCGGCAAAAACATATCACTTTCTGCAACCAAGTCATTTTTTGGTCGCCAAAATATAACCTTCTGCGACCAATAATATTTGGTCGCCAAAAATAATGATCATTTGCGACTAATTAATATTTGGTCGCCAAAAGATAACTTTTAGCTACCAACTTTTACATTGGTCGCGAAAAGTGATCGCGAAAAGTGCAGATTCTTGTAGTGATCTCTAACATTTCTCTTAGTGGAATGACCTTTTTGTGAATGATAATCTATTGGTAATGGCTTTTAAGAAATTTCTACATCCATCTGCCATGCAGGGAAACCTGCTGAAATTCACTATGGCACGGGGGCCATATCTGGATTCTTTAGTGTAGACAATGTCAAAGTCGGTGACTTTGTTGCGAAGGATCAGGTAAATTTCAGCAACCTCCACTTCTGGCTTATGTAATAGTTTTGTTTGGAATTGTCTATACTCATAGTTTTCCTTGTCAGGAATTTATTGAGGCCACCAGGGAGCCCGGCATAACATTTTTGGCTGCCAAGTTTGATGGCATTCTTGGTCTTGGATTTCGTGAGATCTCAGTTGGAGATGCTGTCCCAGTCTGGTATAATTTGTCTTGGTTAAAACTTTTCAACCGAAAATACATAGTTTGCCTCTCTGTATGTGTGTGTGTCCCCATGTGCGCGCGCAGGTGTGAAATCACATACAAGCACAGAATAGAACTCCAGTGATTAGTCTGCAGCGCTGTTTGTTTGATTGTGATCATGGTAATTATGAGAAGTTTTTACTTCCTCCTTTGAGATGGGGCTCTTGCATATTTTACAGGTACAACATGGTCGAACAAGGTCTAGTTAAGGAAGAGGTATTTTCATTTTGGCTTAACCGAAATGCAGATGAAGAAGAAGGGGGTGAAATCGTGTTTGGTGGGGTTGATCCAAATCACTACAGGGGTAAGCACACATATGTCCCAGTGACAAAGAAAGGCTATTGGCAGGTTTGTCAACCACATCTGTTTACTTCGTATTGTCTACCTTTTGTTCATCTTGGTTTAATTCATTGTCATAATTTGTTTTGTTTTGTTATCATCTTCTTGGTAGTTTGATATGGGTGATGTGCTCATTGATGATAAACCAACTGGTAAGCTCCCTGTGGGTGCCTAATACAATTTTTTACAACCAAAAATGGGAAAAATTGAAAGCTAAATGAAGACTATGTAAACAAACCTAACATTGTCATGATGATTATATTCTTGCCCCTTGTTAACCTGTTGTTTAATACGTTTAATGGTTTTTTTTTTTCACAGGTCACTGTGATGCGGGTTGTTCTGCAATTGCAGATTCTGGAACTTCTTTGTTAGCTGGTCCAATGGTATGAATTTTATTTATTTATTTATTTATTTTTTGATGACTAGGTTTTCTAGCCAGCTTACATGTACCTCAACTAATCTTCAACTAATCTTAGAACCCACGCAAAGCCCCCCTTCACGTGGATTAGGGGGCAAAGCCCATGGGCTTGGCCCTAGGGAATTGATAGCACGTAGTGGGAGTTGAACCTAAGATCTAGTGGGAGCACACCCCCAGGCCCCAATCTGCACCCACTAGACCAACCCTTGGGGTTGGTCCAACAGTATGAATGGATGCCTTGGATTTCTTCTAGGATACAGACCCCTTCTTTTCTGTATGAAGGGATCTGACATGTCACCACTAGTGGATAGTTTTCAATACATCCTTAGTTTGTCTGATATTTCTATTTAACATATTTATTCTTCGATATGTTCCAAGTGTAGAGGTTGCTATTTCACTCTCTGCTTCTAATACTGTGGTGGAAATCAGAACTTAGTTTAAGTTTATGCTAGATTTCTGTGGATGTGTAGATTTAGTCTATGTTTAACTTGCTTTGAATAAGATATAGTATATGTCAAGACAATTTTGGCTTTATTTAAAATGCTTGTTGAAATAATCTTCTTGGCTTATGATTGCATTGCTATTAATTTGCTTCTCTGATGCATTATTCTCTCTCTCTCTCTCTCTCTCTCATACAGACCGTGATCACCATGATAAATCATGCTATTGGAGCCACTGGAGTTGTTAGCCAGGAATTCAAGTCAATAGTTGAACAGTATGGGCAAACAATCATGGACTTGCTATTATCAGAGGTAAATGCTAGCTGCTATTGTGTTTACCTCTTGATCCATATTAGATTCTTTTCTTCTTCTTCTTCTTCTTCTTCTTCTTCTTCTTCTTCTTCTTCTATTTAATTAATTTAATTATTTATTTATAAATGAAGAGAGTAATGGTAGTTGGCGCACTACTCGTTCTAGCTTATCAAGAATGTAGTATCCTAGAGCACGTCCTGACTTTTGACTTGGACCACTTTAACAGTCACAACCGAAGAAGATATGCTCTCAAATTGGATTGTGCAGCTTCGATGGAACTCATGGTGTCAGGTTACCTTTGAGACTGCTCTGCTATAATCTTTTGGTTGTCTGCGCACTCTTGAAAGATGACTTTTATGTTATATAGTTCACAGCATGAAGGTGAAATAGAATGGAATGATCATTGTTTAGCCTTCTTATGGAATGATCATTCATTTACAATGGTGAATGATGATTCCATTTGCAATGTAATTTCGTTCCTTTTTTTTTAGTGAGCCAAATGTGAGAATGTTTCATGGACATCTTGATGGAATGATCATTCCATTCCACCTTCATTTCAGTGAACCAAACACTAACTTATTGATCTTGTTCCAACCACTTTGTTGTTGTCATAATTAGGAGATAGTTTGTTGTTACTTCAACTCTAGTCCTTCAATGCTTTTTGTACAGTATGGGCATTGAGAGTGTAGTCGATGAGAAGAATGGAGGCAGATCAGCTGGTCTACGTGATGCTATGTGCAGTGCTTGTGAAATGACAGTTGTGTGGATTCAAAACCAGCTTAGACAGAACCAGACCCGACATCAAATATTGAACTATGTCAATGAGGTGGAATAGTTATTTTATGTAGGCTTGTTCTTTTGTGTTAATTAGATTGCTTCTGATGTTGACTTAGCTCTCTGATATACTTGTAGCTTTGTGATCAACTTCCTAGCCCGATGGGGGAATCAGCTGTTGATTGTGAAAACCTTTCTTCCATGCCTAGTGTTTCCTTTACCATTGGTGGTAAAGTTTTTGACCTCTCACCAGATGAGGTAAGAACAAGCTTGCTTTTCTTATAATTCTTGTTTTATCTTCATTCAGTGCTATTGTTGTTATTGCGTCTCATCTGAAATGGAGTTATGAATATATGAGTATTTTGTGCAGCTACCTATCTTATTTAATTTAAAAAGTTAAAAAAAAAGAATAAAAAAAAAAAAAAAGAGACTAAAATATTAAATTACTTTACTAAAAGACAAAGAAACACGAAAAACAACCAACTCAAAAACAGTTTTCAAGACTAAACCAAACAAATCTTGGATAAACATTTTTTTTTCTAAAAAAAATAAAAAATAAAAAATAGAACAGAGGAATGCCCGCACGCCTGTCCTTGGTTTGGCATCCATGAATGATAATTTTACACTGTCAAAATTTTAATTTGTTATTTTTGTGCTTTCTTTTCTCATACTACTAGTATTGCCCTTTCCCTGTAACCTCTATGTCTGCTTTACTTTGATCCAGATTTCTAAATTAAAGGCAAACGATGGTAAAACTATTTTGACGTCAATTCTTTCTGGGGGTTTAATTATGAGTGCTCCATTAACTGGCATAATTTCAGTGTAAAATTCCACACATTTCTACTAAATAGCCAGTGACTTATAGCCACATCTACCATCTCATCTTTCTTGGGGATGTAAAAATTGTCTGACATTAACATCTATTGATTGGTGGTTTGATCAGTACATACTCAAGGTGGGTGAGGGTGCTGCCGCGCAATGCATTAGTGGCTTTATTGCTTTGGATGTTCCTCCTCCTCATGGACCTCTCTGGTATTCAATATCTACTCTCTCCAATTCTCTAAGTATTTATTACACCCCATTTATTTTCTGGTGCTTGGTACAACAGAAAACGTTTGTCATAATCAATAGAAAATAAGCCTATTTGGATGGAAAATGTTCCACTTTTGAAAGGTGAAGAACACTTTCCAAAGTACAGTTTCACCAATGCATACACCACTAATACACCCATTAGTACATTAGTTTCAAAGATGTCACTAATACAGTTATTAGTACACATTAGTTCAAAGATGCAACCAAATATTTCAAAAATATTTTTTGAAAAAAGTTTTACATAGAAAATGTTTTCCATTGGAAAATGTTTGCAACAGAGCTTTAGTTTCCCCTTGTGGTCTAAATATAGGATGGAGATGCTAATTAATACCATTGGCTGACTTTGTGATGTAGGATCCTGGGTGATGTCTTCATGGGTCGCTACCACACGGTCTTTGATTCTGGTAATCTGAGGGTTGGATTTGCAGAGGCAGTGTAAATGAACCCGCCCGTGTGGCTCCATGTTTCTTTCTTTACATGCTTTGGTCCGAGTACAGTTACAAACACTACGTAGTTTAGATGGTGATTTGTAACGATACTGGAGTCAGCTTTGGTTAATGCTTGTTTGTGTAAATATTGAAATGCTTCCCCTCTTTTTCAATATAAGAGCCAAAGCAAGAGTTAGTGTTTACTCTATATATGAAAGTTCGAGTGTGTTCAAAAGGTCTGGCTCCGTCATGAATTATAACGAATAGTGTTAGTAGGTTACTGAGTAGTTTTGGATATCATGTGGTATTTGTAGTGTTCTAAACCAAAGTTTGTATTTCAGTCCTAAAACATTGTAGTGTTTTAAACCAAAGTTTGGACTTCCATCCCAATACATGGTGGATTTTTTTACCAATTTTTCATCTTTTTATTAGTTTTTGAACATTGAGGATTTTTATTTTTATTTTTTTAAATTTGGAAATAATTGGAAAAAAACCTATGTAATGGGGTGTTTTGAAAAATGAGGTTCAAGCTTTGATCTTTGTTGGTCATAAGAACATCTTTCTTGGTCTTATAATTTTTACAATATGAATATGCTTTTAATGAAATTAACTTTTTAGATTTATTTTTTAAAATTTTTAAAACAAGATTAATATTGACTATGAATTTTTTTTATTAAAAAAAAAAAAGTGAATAGATAGATTTTTTTTGTATGTTTCACGATTTATGTGAAAAAATTGAAATTTTAGTCCAAAATAGTCATTTTCTGCAAAAATAACAAACCAGGGTTGCCTTTGGCAATTTTCGGTGTATAGATTTCAAAAAAAAAAAAAAAAAATGTGAAATAAAAATTTCTTTCTCTACTTAAATATCAAAAAAAATACGAGAATTCAGTACATTTTTTTTGTATTTTTATGTATTTATTAATTTTTTAAAATATTTTTTAGGGGGATGAATCATTGTTGTTAATACAATGTATAGTATATTATTAAAAAAATACCAAATGGGGGGCAATTTTGCAATTGGACATTATTGAATAAATATGAATAAAAACATAATAATTTTAGGTAATTTCTAGATTCGTAATATTACTATTAACTTAAATCATAGTATGCTTATTTGCTAAATATTAAGTTTTTTTTTTTTTTAAATGTTAAACAATGTTTGCTTAATGTTATGATTTTCTTAATTGTTGAATATTATAAGAGTAGTTTGTGTGATGGGCATATTATTATTTTTCAAATTTATGATGAGTTAAATTTTTTTGATAATGTTATATGATTTTTTTTAGTAACAAATTATCTAAAAACATAGATCCAAATCGAATCGAATTGTGTTTAAATAATTTGGGTCAGATTGGTTCAATAATTTTAATGATTTAATTTAATTACAATTTTTTTTAAATCGTGGACAATAAATTAATTTTGATTTTATCCAAATTAAAAAAAATAAATAATCATGCTAACAAATGCCCGATACACTTGATAAGATGCAATAAATTTACGTTTTAATACAATTTACAGTATATTATTAAAAAAATACAAAATGGAGGACAATTTTGCAATTGGACATTATTTTGGCGTTTTGTGTTAGATTCCACCGCCTTTCATTCTTTTATATATGTTATAGATTATAGACTTACATGTATTATTCATTCAAGTCACGAAAGTCAAGCTTTTTTATTTAATTTCAGGAGTACCTATCAATGGGGGAAAAAAATTAAATATACACACACTAATGGACAAAAGCAAAGTAAAATTTTCTATATTTTAATATTAATTTTCGTGATCCTATAAAATAGATATAGACGTTTTATCTTCTTCAATTCACCTCATGAGAAAAACATAGATGACGCAATAAGATAAACATCCATTGGTATCAAAATTCTGACCTGGATCGTAAAATATTATGATCCTATGACTTAAGTTAGACTAAATGATTTAGATTGTACTAAGATCTTAAAATAGTTACTATCCTGATCATAAATCATATAAAATCATACTATGATCCAAATTCTAAAACGATCATGAAGCTATCAAAAAAAATTCTTCTGATTTATTTATTTTATATTATATGTATACGTGTATAAAAAAAAAGAAAAAATTGTTTAACATTGAACAAGCATTATATATTTTTCTATAATGATTTTAAAATTGTTTAAAATATATTATCATTAACGATGGTTTTTTATTTTATTTTGTACTGAAAGTAAAATCTTACGATTCTTGATTCGATTTTACGACTCATTCCACGAAAAAGAAAAATGAAAAGGTAGATAAAATGTAAATAAAATATATTTACATTTTACCTAATGTTACACACATTTTTCCTTTTCCTTTTTAAATCCCTTTTCAAATTCTCCAACCAAACACAACGTTAGGGTTCCAATTTTAACAATCTTATAACATCCACAATGGGCCTTTGATGCAAGAAATTAATTAAGTATAATTTCTTTGCTAAATGTATAAACAACCTTGTCACCCATTAATAAATTTCAAATTGCATTTCTAATAGAGATTATCAAATTTTACCAAGCGCGCGGTTCTTGAATTCCAGTCTTACTGTTATGAAGCTTGCATCTCATTAATTCATTTTCCCTATCTACTCTTATCTGTTGAAAAAATAATAATCTATAGATTATATAAGTAAAAAGGAGTTTTTAGTAAGGAATCTTTGTGAAAGTTTTAATATCTCATACTAATTTTTTTAATTTTAAACAATGAAGAAAATCTTCATTGACTAACTTCTATTTAACCATATAAAAATAAAACTCTAATTAGTTTATGATTTATTTGATAATCCCACATTAGAAAAAAAAAAAAAAAGGAAAAAGTGAATTGTTTTCCTTATATAAAGTGAATCATATATACTCTCATTTAATATTGTAATTTTGTGCATATTTCAATTCAATATATAGTTTAAATTTTTAGATAAAATTTAAGAGTTTTTAATTAATTAATTATTGTGTAAGTTGTTTAGTCTTTTAACTTAACTGATTAGGCTTAATCATTTTTATTTTGACTAATTCGTGAGTTTAACTGCGATTTTAACAGTTTTATCAAAATATATTAGTCAAATTTATTTGATTTGAAATAAACTAAAGATTGATCTGATTAAACATTGAACGATTAAGATTAATTTGTGTGCCACTCATATGGAAGCAATTCACTAAAATCTAATTATTTCATAATTTATGACTTTTAAAAATATAGATATTTTTCCATTTCAAGATTTACAATTATGTTTCATTAAATATGATAAACAATCCAATAGAATTTAAAATTTATAAAAACCTTTCAAATGATCATCAGGGTGTTTACTTCCACCAAATATTTCGAGAGTCACCATATTGATAAACAATACTAATGTTCTAGATGATAAGAAGCTTAAGTAATAATATTTTCTAATTATGATTATTTTATATTATAACCTGCAAATACTAATATCTGCTACTTTCATAATGAATGCTAATAGTTATATTATTCATATTTTTCATGAAAATTATATAATGCAAATTATGTAATAGTCATGCCTCCCATATCTAAGGAAAAAGGTAACAAATATTATTTATATTAATTTTATAATCATGATATATTTGACAATATTCTTATAACACTATTGATCATAGTTATGCAAGAAGAAGATTTGATGCAACAAATTAAATGCAAATTCGTTACTGAAGGAGACGATTTGCAAGTGATCAAGGCTTTGAATTGAATGAAACGGTGAAAATTTGTTTTTGATGATACTGAAGTCTTGGAAACTGATTGTCTTATCAGTTTATTTTTCTGTTTTGTGACTCTCTCCAAACTCAAGTTGGCTAGTGCCTATCCTCCTTGAGTTTGAGGGGGGCTGTTAATGTAAATTGTGTAAATGTAAATTACCACTACCACTCACTCCACCTACCACCTCCACTACCACCCACTCCACCTACCACCTCCACTACCACCTTCACCTACTCCCAAATCCTCTCTTATATAAATCCTTGTAATATACACAATACATATATCAATCAATAATATACATCAATTTATTTAAACAATAACAGCCAAAGCAAGAGTTAGTGTTTACTCTATATATGAAAGTTTGAGTGTGTTCAAAAGGTCTGGCTCCATCATGAGTTATCGTTTTGTGGTAACGAATAATGTGAGTAGGTTACTGAGTAGTTTTGGACATCATGTGGTATTTGTAGTGTTCTAAACCAAAGTTTGTACTTCAATCCCAAAACATTGTAGTGTTTTAAACCAAAGTTCGGACTTCGTCCCAAAACATGGTGGATTTTTTGCCACCTATTTTTATTTTTTATTCACTGTGTTTGGTTTGACTTTTCTGGATTAAATTTTTTGAAAATTAACTTTTTTAGTTTTTATGTTTTTTTGTTTTTAGTGAATATTTTTTAAATTTTAAACATTTTTTTTACTTTTTTAGATGCACCTTACTTAGATGTATCTAAAAAGTAAAAAATTTGTGAAAAAATATTTTAAAAAATTAATAAATACATAAAAATATAAAAAAATGTACTGAATTCTTATATTTTTTTTATATTTTTGGTATTTAGTGAATTTTTAAAAGAATTATTTTACAATTTTTTTATTTCTTAGGTGTATTTATGTTAAGTGTGTCTAAAAAGTAAAAAATTGCTTAAAATATTAAAAGAAATTCAGTAAAAACAAAAAAATACGAAAAATAAGAAAGTAGAATTTTCTGAAAAATGTTTTGGAAAACTGGAAACCAAGCAGTTTTTTAACATTGAGGATTTTTTTTTTTAAAAAAAAATTGGAAATAATTGGAAAAAAGCCTGTATAATGGGATGTTTTGAAAAATTAGGCTCAAGCTTTGATCTTTGTTGGTCATAAGAACATCTTTCTTGGTCATAAGGACACACACATGGAACGATGTGCTTGGTGAGTCCAAATTAAGGGGGCAACTCGGGCGGGTTCGGTCGGGTTGGGGGTCTGCCCAAGCCCGACCCGAATTGTATTTAGCACTGTCCAAGCCCGCCCAAGCCCGACCATGAACCCGAACATTGTTGCCCAAGCCCGGCCCAAGCTTTGTATTTTGAACTCGGGTTGCCCGAATTGCCCGAATTGCCCGAGTTCAGAAACCTGTAGGTAGATCTAAAGGTAGACATAAAAGATGCTAATCTAATGGTAGAAAACTAACCAAAAAAAAATAAAAAATAAAAATTAAGACTAACTCTTTTACTTAATAGAAGACTAACCAAAAAAAAAATAAAAATAAAAATT